ATAGCTAGGAGTAGGGTGTTTTATTAGTTCTGTTTCAACTGACTTGGGATTTTTTTTTGACCTTTAATTAAAAGAACTGCAGGATTTTATTTCTGCTAACTGCAAAATAACGAGATCGTTTAGCTGTTTAGTAACAGTAACCTTTTTCATCTAAGTACAGTTTAATTAAGAGCTAATAAAGCCGAAGTTCAGACAGAACCCTGAAAACAGCATGCTAATTACTTTTCTGTATTAAGTACTATTGGCACCAAGTATTTATAACCTTCAAGTTACCTTGCCGTAATTAGCTCAGTTCTCATTAGCTGGTACCTCAGGCTCCAAGAAGTGAGAAGTTGGTGAAGGAAGTTAGAAATATTTCTTAAATCTCTTGGTTGTCCAAATGATTTACCTAGATGAAAGAGCCTAATTACTTGAAAATACATAATTGCACTATCATCAAGATCATTATTGTATGGGTAAAAAAAAAACAACTTTAAAGGAAGACCTGGTGATATTTAAAACAGTGTATCCTGAGGAAAAAACTTTTTATTGAAATCATTTGAGCAACGTTTTCCAAAGTGGCTCTTTATATTTTAAGGATCCTTCACTGGACACATAAGTTTTGGACCCTAAGGTGAAGTTGTGGCTCCTGAATTTTTTTCTTCTATTGGACGCTAAAAAACTTAGGGGGTACATAATTGGCACCAGCTGATACTTTATTGACACGTAGAGGGAAAATTGGGTTACCTGTTCTCTGGCAGCAAAACACTTTGCAGAAAAAGCCAAAAGTTTTCTTTGTTTTTTCTCTTGCCCTCTCTGTAGTGTCAGCTCTGCTGAGAGTGCACAAAGACAAATGAAGCTTTCTTGTCCTTTTGTCTGAAGGATAGATAAAATGTTTTTTTCAGGTACATCCCTATACCCAAAGCAATTATTGTTTCTCCCGCATAGATTAAATGTTTATGGTAATGGGTGTCAAATTGCTACTCTTGGAAATCCAGAAAGAGTAGTCATTGTATTTTAATGATGTTCCAAAATACATAATTTATCATGAAGGAATAATTTTTCCTCAGAAGTCCAATAAAATCCTGATTCCCAGACACTCAGCCTGGCCTTCACTGAGGCTGTCTTTTGTTGCTGCTCGTCGTGCTGCTTCCCAGCACCCCGGGTGCTGCAGCAGGAGGAGGGGGAGGGAGGCAGGTGCTGTGCCACTACCTGAGCAGCACTCCCAGAGCAGGAAAAGGCAAAGTGGTGTCCCAAAAAATGCAGAGTAAAAGGACATTGCATCTGTTACAGCTCATTGAACCTCTCTACACCAAGAGCTGCACTCAGATAATGGCTTTACTTCTGGTTCTTCCCTCTCTTGCAGGGGTTACAGAAGAAATACAATATGGAAAAATTAAAGTTACTTCTGAATAAGAGCTCCCCTAGAGGGGCTTGCTCTGCTTAACTCAGGTGCTTTCACATTGCACTTTCTATGAATTTGTCCTTCCTTTTCAGAAGGTCCTTGCCTTTATTGAAGAGCCAACACAGCATCAGAAATTTTACTCAGAAGCAAAGTAACTCCTAATTTAATGGCCCCTTTGATAGTATTTTCAGACAGTTTTTACTGACAGTTGAGCAAGCAAGCGTTGAGAGATGAGATGAGCTCTGTTTCCCAAAAAAAGGAGGTGAAGGACTTTGTGGAAAATGATGAAGCTGCCCTTGCATTTGTTGCTGACATGAAAACATGTACTGATGTGAAGTGTAGGATGTTAATGCTGCAGCACTGTGAGACTCTGTCTGTCTGCTTGCCAATTTAGTTGAAATGTACGTGATTACAAACAGAATTACCAGCTTATTGAACTATTTCTCTTTTCAAGTGCCTGAGTTCTTTAGCAGCTTTTCAGCAAGAAAATAGTCATAAATATGTTGGTGTGACTGCACAAAGAAGGTGTCATTCCTCTTTGGTGAACCAGAGTTCAACAAGGCAATCTTGATTTATTCCTTTGATCAGTCGAGGCTTTTGAGTGTGAATATTTGTGGTGTTGTTGAAGAAATTACAACTGTCTGTTGGCTGAAGACGGGCTGACATTTGGAGCTTTTCTGTGGCAGGCTCTGAAGTGAAATCACATTGAGGTATTTGAGGGCGGGATGGCTTCCTGGCTATGGAAGTGGGAAGCAGGTTTGAAGACTGGAGTTTTATCCTTGGCTTTTCAGCTGATTTACTTGAACAAAAACTTGAGACAGCCCATGTCATCTGTCCATGCCTCCGTCCTCTGTTTGAGAGATGAGAAAGTCTGTTGTTTTGCTGTCAGGATAACTTGTGTCTATCCCTTGATTTGTAACAGGGCCTTTTTTTTAGATTTTGATTTTTGCTATTAGTGAAGAAAGGGGTCTTTCATCACATATTGAACATTTACATTTGATTTCTGGCACTAGGAATTTCCTAAACTTAGTCTGTGAGCTTAGGAAAACTTCAAAAGAAAGTGCTCCATTGAAGCTGTGTACGTGAAAGGGATTATGCAGCCAAGGTGTTTTATTTTCCTTATAGTACCAGCAGAAATATAACATGTACTAAATAATTATTTATAAACATAGGAAGACTTGACTAGGTGGTTCTAAAATATAATCTTCAGTACTGGTGTATTTATGTAACATCTCATACAGATACCCAGAGGTGCTGTTCATAAACAGGTATAAAATATCCAGAAAATACCAGCAGTTTACCTTCAGCTTATAAAACAGCATGTAAAAATGAAATTTCAGTTTTTTAGTCCCCCTACGTTTCTCTCTTTCTGTCTTTCTGATGGAAACTCACAGTAATACGCCCTGCCATCTGCTACTATATATTTTTCATGAGTTTTAACATTTTGTTTTTAGAACCTGAAAGATGAGTAAAATGTCAAGTCGCCCAGAAAATAATCATAGGCACGACAGCTCAAATGTTAGCTCAGTTTGTGTGTACCCAGAGTGGTTCACAGCAGGTCTGTGGCCTCTCTCTTTGAAGGCAGAGCAGGTACACCATTGGAATCAGCTGATATGTTCCCAACACAAGGCAAGAAGGTAGGAGCCACACTGGCAAAATCAATTCCTAGTGAAGAAGTGAGCTCTGTGTTGCATTGTTACAGAAATGTCTTGGGCCTTTTGCCACCTTTCTCCCTCCTCCCTTTTAAATGCCTCTTGTCATTTTAGTTTTCCATCCTGCTGGGTGGAGACCAGACTGGGGGTGACAAGCTGGGAAGGTGTTAGGTGTTAGAAAGTACAGCGTAAAACCTTCAGCTCAAAAAATGCTCCCAGCTCTTAACGTGGAGGGACAGAAGTGAGCAGCCCTTCGTGCCACCTCGCTGTCAGTCTGTGCTCAGGGTCCCTTCCCCTCAACAATGTGTCCCCTTACACAGGAAGGGAATAGCTGGGTTATTTGCCTCCTACCTTTTTAACCACACAGAGATAAAGTTGTATCATTGAGGAGGTTCCAAGCAGCCCAGGGTTGGTTTTCATTTAAGTCCTGTGCACATTTGCTGCTTTTCATTAGAATAGGAAGCCTCCTTGGAGATCTTTGCACTCTCAGCCTGTGCAAAAGCTCTCGTTACAGCGTTGCACTATTTTTCTCTTAGTATTCTTCTCTTTAAGTCTGGAGCTTGGTTTCAATTATCTCCATTCTGTGCTTCATTGTGCTCATTTCTTTAGAATGTCTCTTGTTCACAGGACAGTTTTCAGGCTTTGCAGGAAAAGATGATGATCTTTACCAGGTGACATCTGGGAAAGACCTGAAAAAGAGCTTGTATGCTCTAATAAGGTGGATATAGCCTCAATTTGTAAAATGGGTCATATTTTAAGGAATTTTAAGTTGAGTGTACTGTGCTTAATACCTCAACTGGACTGGACTTTCTAGTGTTTTGTTGTCATTGGCATATAATTGTAGGCAAATCACTTATATAATGAAAATGTCCAGGGAAAGTAATTAAAATTACTGGATCATATTTTTCGAGGCACTGAGTTGTCTTTGCGTTTCAAGAGTAGGGTGCCTGCTAGACCTTTCAACCTTTGGAAAGCTCCAGTAATTTTCATCTTTTTGTGCTGTTAAATACATTCCCCATTCATAACACAGTTGTGCTTCTGTGACAGTAGAAATGTTTTCAGCCACTTTATTAAAATCATTGTGCTATACTGTATGTTGACTTGGAAAACTTTTCTGTGACCTTTGTTTGTCTGTTTTGGTTTTGCTTTGCAAAGTTTGGAAGGCTGGATTTCTGTGTTACACCTGGAAGACTGAACGAGAGACCAGGAGGGTGTAAGGGTTTGGGAGAGAACTGAATGTGATATGTAAATTTTAGGAGTAACAAATCAAGAAGAGCATATTGAAACCAATGAGTGAAGCTGTACCTGATGAATAATGCTTCCCCCTTCTTCCTACGTGCTGTTATTTTGTTTGCACTGCTTTAGTGCAAGTACACAGATGTGACAGTCAGTATGCTCACTGTCTGAGAAATGAGTCAGAGTTTGGGGGAATCTGTGATCCAGTTCTTTCATGTGGAATAGGTTTGATTTAGCTTCTTGCTGTCTCTCTAGATTTTTCTTTTCGCCTTGCCCATGATTTTGAAACATGACTGAAATGCTGTGGATATACTTGAGCTGATGCAGAGAAATGTAGCTCTGACAGTTGTTCTTCACCCTTGTGAATGGAGTGGTGCTGGGGGGCACAAGAGATCTGAAATGAATTCCTGGCTGTGGCCCAGGTTTACTGAGTGACTGGTAGAAGGTCTTCTCTCTGCGTGCCTTTTCCTATCTCATGATTCAGGGAGTAACCCAGCATTGGTAGCTGGTTATCTTCATGAGGAAAATTATGGAGTTTTCATGCGATCTTTAATCTTTATGTGCTAGTAAAAATATCTCTACTTATCTGTCGGACATAAAGAGCTGTTTTTAAATAGTAAAACCAATTGAAAAGGCACTGTAAAAATATTTATATTATTATACTAAGTGTGTTTGCCAGGTTGTGTTCTGTACAGATATGTTTATATGCTGGTTTGCTTCTTTTTCAGGCTCTGCTTGATACTCAGAATGTTTTGAGAGCCCAGATTACAAATTTTACTTTTAACCTGGGATTTTCAGGAAAATTTTATCACACAGGTAAGAATCAAACACTAAAATTACTTTGATTTAGATGGTGTTCTGTCTAGTGTGAGGACAAGGAGGAATGATGGAATCTTAAGGGCTTTAGTATGCTGTGTTCCTGCATTAGTTGCTGGTGTGGAACAAATTAATTGCCTCTCCCCTTTTTATTAAAATTTAGCTGCTTTCAGTCTACTTTTGAGTGGTAAATTCCACCAATCACATAAAATTTTGTATTGATTTCATGAGGGATCTGTTGAGCTACCACAGTTTAGCCTTGTGATTGTTTCATCTGTGCTGTAGAAATACAATAATATAGATATTATCCCTTAAAATAATTTTGTTTTAAAACCATATAGAAATAGGAGAGATAAAAGAAATAGTATTAAATAGGATGTGGGCCAGCCAAGTGGTCCTGACTGTCCCATTTTGTCACCAGTGCCTCAGCAGGAAGTATTTTAACTGGTCACAGTTTATTATGTTAATATCATTCTTAGTGTTTCCAAAGTCTGTAAAAATATAATAAAAGTAGAAACTTTACTTCAGAAATGTTTGAGGGGTTTTTTTTGTTCTTTTTTTTTATTTCCTCTGCAGGGACTGAGGAGGAGGATGAGGGTGATGACCTGCTGCTGAGATCTGTGGATGAGTTCTGGTGGTTTCCCCACATGTGGAGTCACATGCAGCCACACCTCTTCCACAATGAGTCCTCACTGGTGGAGCAGATGATCCTCAACAAAAAATTTGCCTTAGTGAGTTCTATTTTTGCATTTTTTATTTAATTTAGGTACTCAGAAACCATTATTCTGTTTAAACTGGAAAAAAACCCCCACGTTTCTGAAAGAATAAATACTCCATTGAAAGGTAGCAAATGACTTTGTGAAACCATTGGATGTTAGGGTTAGGTAAGTGTACCACATTTTCAAAGATGCAATTCTGCAGTGATACCCAATAATATCTTATATATTCCCTTTGCATCAACTTTATGTAAACTTGTTTTGAAAAGCATTGCATTTACTAATTATTTATTCACAGCAAAGCTCTGAATCAAAATGTTTCAGCGAGAATATAAGAAAAAATCAAAGCAGATTTTAGGTCTGAGAATATTGGAGAAACAGATCACAGTTAAATTCATACAATAAACCAAAATTGCCATACATAAAATGTGTTATTTGTCTGAAGAGGGGCTCTGGTGTTACGACCTAATCGTATCAAAATATCTCAGCAGACATAACTTTTTTGCTGAACTGCTTTTGCTCTTACAACAGCCTAATTTTACTTCTTCCTTTTCAAAATCCACTGGTTGCTCTTTAGCTGGCAGGTGGTGTCTTTGTTCCTGGAAGGAGCAGGGGGATTTGAAATACTAGAAGAACAAAGAATGTACTTAATAGTCATGTGTCAGTGAGTGTAGGAGAACAGGATAGACCTGACTATCAGCCAATTAAAGTTTGTATTTGAAATCTTGGCTTTTAAGTGAGACACATGCTTTCTTTCAAACAAAGACTTCACCTAGCTTGCTGTAAATTGTAGTTGTACTGAGTACAGGACAGCTCTACTTTAATGTTTCCTTTCAAGAAAGCATTACAGTAGGTGTTAGATTCCTGAAAATTTAAAAATCTTGTGTCCAGAATTGCACTTTTCATATGATTCTGTGTACTGGTGCAAGCTCCACTGAAAATAAAATGGGTCCTTGTAGTTCAGTGTGATTTAAGACATTCTCTGGGGTTAGTGTGCAGGATGTAATCATTAGAGTGTTAAAAGGACAATGCATTTTCAACCCTGGTTTATGTAACTTCAGCAATTGCCATTTTCTTCACTACTTTCAATGCTCTTAATGCTTACAGATACTTGCTATTAATTTTTTTCATGTTTAGGCATACAGACATGAAGCTACTCACTGTGTTTCATCTGCTCAGAGCATTTAAATTAAAACAGAGAGAAGCAGCCACTTCTTTGAAAGAGGCTGAAATTGCTGATGCCTTGTGCATTTTTCACTCCATGTGTGTATTGTATGGGAGATGCTCAACTGGGGAATAAGAGTCAGTGAGGAATAATGGAGAGATTACTTCATTGAAGATGATAGGCCCCTTATTAAAGTGAAAGATTTAGATTATGTTCTTATTACTGCCTATTGTGAAACTTGAGGGGAGAAGCCTTAAAAATCAGACTTTTGTTTATAGATAAATGAAGGAGATGCAGTGGGATGTTAGAGAATCCAATTTCTTACATGATCTGTGAATATTTTCCTTTCTGATGTTTATGCATGCTTAAGGGCAGTAAGAAAGATAAAAGGAAGAAGAATTGGATTATCTGTGATGGAATTAAATCGTGTAAAGTGGCGTAACTGATGGAGTATCTACTCTTTATCTTCTCATGCAGTACTACCAGGAGGGCAGATGTTACTCATTCCTGGTTGGCAGATTACACATGGTGCCCTTTCTCTGTGACATAAATCCCTAAAGGGAAACAAGAATTTCACCATTCTTTAAACCTAGAGAACTCAGGGTTCTCCGCTGTGATGGAACCAGGCGTGTCTGTTACACACAATGAATGGTTTTACTAACATCACGCCCATATTCCTAGAGATTTTCATGTTCCTTAGTACTTAGTTTATTCAAAGCAAGAGGTCTAGGTATCAGCCAATGCTTTGCACACACAGTATGATTAGGGCATATGGTGAAGATGACTGTATCAATTCAAGCCATTTTAAAATCTCTAAGAATTCAAAGGCAGTGCAAAGGCAGTCTTCCTAAATCATGCCAAAATGCTATTTTATGGACTGTCCATTCCACTGATCTGACTGAAGGAATATCTGCTATATTCTGTTCCTTTGAAAAGTAACCTGAAGGAAAATGCATTGTGGAGAGAATGTAATGGCCCAAGGTATGTACACACTATAAATGCCAACAGTCTTCAAAAACAGTCAGTGGGCTACAGAAGGGTTTACTGTACAGCATAAGCCTGTACACTGTTACAAGTGGTTATCTTTCTTCCATTTTTAACACGACACTGAAATAGTTAAGCTGGATTTTGAAAATGGATTTGTCTTTTGAATGGACTAGAGGGAAAATGCAGTGACTCTGAAATTCAGCTCCTCGTCCAAGTAATTGGGAAGGGATATGTAGTGGAAATTGTGGTTTTGTGGCTGTAGCTGCCAAATGCTACGTGTTGTGTTCAGTATGTGCCAGAGATTATCTCTCTGAAACCAGAGTTTGTGAACAAATTCCTTGCAAGAACTTGAAAGTGTGCAGCTTTCTGTTTCATGTAGATCAAATAAACCAATGTAAAATGCATTTATATCCTTCTTCCCTGCCTACTCACAAAAATATTTTATAAAAAGGTTTTTGTCTTAAAATCCTGTGTTTCTTCTTCACCATGCTGCCCTCCATCTCCTTCCAGATCATCATATTTTGATATTACTGTTATTTGCATTTCAGACTTGTTTCAGACAAACAAAGCATTTAAGAAATGTCAAACATCAAGTTTCTTAAATTTTTGAGTGCAGCCATTGTTCTGTCATGTTTTAGGAACATGGTATTCCAACTGACTTGGGATATGCAGTGGCTCCACACCACTCAGGAGTCTATCCAGTACACGTTCAACTTTATGATGCCTGGAAAAAGGTCTGGAACATCAGAGTAACCAGCACAGAAGAATACCCACATCTGAAACCTGCAAGGTATAGACGAGGCTTCATCCACAAAAATATCATGGTGAGTTGTGTTGCTGATGTTCATTTTGTACTCTGCCATTTCATGAACAATTTCCTTTTAAGTGGAAAAGCAGGGTATCCTGAGAGTTCACACTGTGAGAAGCACATATTCTTATGCATAAGTAGCAAGGTATATTTCACAGTGTCTTGTTAATTAAAATCAGTCTGTTGCTGGTGATGTTTCTGCTGATGAAGGTGGCATCCAGGCACCCTGCTGACAGCAGTTAAGAGGCTGTTAGCTGTTCTAGTCCTGTGGTTAACGCTGGTTCAGAGAGCTCAAGGAAAAAGTCAGTTTTGCATCATTTAACACAATATGCTGGGTTAGATTTCTATCAGGTTTTTAATTTGCATGGTACCATTAACTGCAAAAGAGTATTGCCGGGTTATGCCACCTCAGAATCTGCATCTGGGTGGGTACATGTTTTTGTCTTCCCTAGGAACTGTGCGTGGCTGCCCTGGTTTGGCTTCCTGCCGTGCACAAATGCAGGCTGGGCTTTGCAGCCTGGTTTAACCCAGAGCCTCAGGAGCTGCGGGGAGGGAAGACACTCCCCACACCACCTGCAGGCTACCAAAGTGCTCTCAACCCCCACTGTTTCCCTGAATTACATGACTTCCAGCACTGTCACTGACAGCCACGAGTGCCAAAGGAAGGGCTGGTACCCAGCTGACACGGAAGGCGTTGTGCTGTTGCCATCAGGGCACTGGGGTGGAGGCTATTTCAGGTTCACATCTCAGCATTATTACCTCAGAAGTATTTCAAAACAGCTTTCCAAAATACTTGGTGGCATGTTCCCAAGTAACTTTCTTTTGGAGTGTGGGGGAGAGCAGTGAATGGAGGCCCTGTTGTACCTCTGGCTGCAACAGGCACTTTTGGGAGGTCGAGAGCCTTGGCACAACACTTAGAACAGAATTCTGGTATTGTTCTGGGGTTGCTATGGATACCACTTTCCTGAGCTAAGTAGTAGTATTTTAACATTTTGATCTGTTTTTGGGTGAAGCAAATGAAAATGATCTCCAGAAATCTAGGAACAAAACTGACACCAATATAGGGTTGAGCTACAGTTTGTTCTCAAAGCAATCACTGCCTGTGAGAAAATGGGTTTGTGGATGTGCGTAGGGAGCACAAAGCATTTGGGAAAGACAGATTGACTCAGAATCTCCAAAAATCCCTTCCATAAATATTTGTAAAAACACGTCATTTGAAGACACATAATGAGATTTAACACAGGGACACTGCAGCCAAAAATCTATTTCCAAAACCAGTCATATAAAACCACCTGTTCAGGGAGTCTCAGGCTTTCAGTTCTCCGGGGCAAATGCATCAATATTTTACATCTGCAGGCTAATAGTAATGAGCACACTCAGTAGGAACATTGTTGTGTAAGATTTGTCAGAGCACCTCCCATCCAGTACATCTTCATTCCCTGCCTCTGTGAAAAATTGTTCTCATATTTCCTCTATGAAATCCAAATGTTTTTTTAAAATTTAGGCAACTCTGTAGCAGATGTACAAATTCCATACATTTTCTGACAACACAGTTTACAATCCGTGATCACAGTATTCTCTATGTCACAAGAAAAAAAATGTTGAGAAATTAAACTGCAGGAAATAAAGAGTATCTACAAAACCACAGTCAGTGTTAAATAAGGCATTTGTATGCTTAAAAAGTTAATTTATCATAACAATCCCAGCAAAGCATTATACGTGAACTTCCATACTTAGCTGTTGATTTCCCATAAGGAATAGACATGATTTAAATACTCTCCAGTAAATTATTTTCTGAATACAGGAGAAAATATTTTGAGTTTCTGATGAAAAACATAACAGCATTTAGTAATTCTTTATATTCAAAAGATTTGTTCTTGGAATGTTTTTAAAAATAATTTTGCTTGTATTGCATATTTCAGCCAGTCTTAAAAAAAATAGTACAGTTGAATGAGAAGTAAATCTTTCTTATAAGGTGAGCATTACTGGTAAATTTCCCCATGTGTCAGAGTAGAACTATTGGTGGTGATGCCTAAGCCAAAGAAAACATAATTTGCCTTTCCAATTACAGTTTAAATTTACAACAAAGCCATCATTCCGATAAAAGTGGAACTGATTGATACGATATAGACTGATAATATTTTAGATTATCTTTCACATTATTTTAAATTTTTAAATTTCAAATACTTGGATTTAGGATGAGGTGTTATGGACAGAATGAGTTACAGGAGACTCTGGAATTTTAATTTGGTGATAGAGCTCAGTCTCCAATTTCAAACAAAATATGATGAATTTTTGGATGTTACGATTTTAGTGATAATAATTCATCTAGATCAGTATTAATTTCCAGCAAAGTTGAGAGGCCAAATATACCCAGCAATTATCTGTTATGTGTTACTTCTCAGACTTTTATAATCTCATTAAAAGTATAAGCTCTTGATTTTTTTTATGTATTTTTCATGAATTCAGGTGCTTCCTAGGCAAACTTGTGGCTTGTTCACGCACACCATTTTCTATAAAGAGTATCCTGGAGGTCCAAAGGAATTAGACAAAAGTATTCAAGGAGGGGAGTTGTTCTTCACAGTGGTTCTCAATCCAGTAAGTACAGTGGAATTTTTAAATGTTTTTTAAAAATTAATTGAAGAAAAAGTTACTCAATGTTCCAGGGCTGATCAGCTGGGTCTCCCAAACAGTAATAGTTACTGACAGGGAGTTCCTTTGCTTTTTCAATTATTTAAATTAAGATCTAATATTACATATGTTCTGTTAGTTGTACAAAGCAGTCTGCACCTTTTTTTGACATTTGTTTTGTTAGTAATGCAGCAGTGCCAGCCTCTCTTGTTCTTTACTTTTTGCATGAAATAAGGGCCCTGAGATTTAATATTTCAGAAAATTCCAATGTGAAGAACTGCTATGAGTATCTCAGGTCAAGTTCATTTCTCTGCTGTGCCAAAGTCTCATCATCTCTGCTGATGCCATGTGTTGGGAGCACTTATTGAGGTGAGAAGGATGCAAGAAAGGAATGCTTGTGCTCCAATCAGTTTGGAGAAATTTCAGTTGCTCTCTCATAGCAGCTTCCAAGAGGAGATCCAAGTAAAAGAACCACACAGTTGAAAGAAAAGATCTGAGTAAATGAACCATATCTTCTTAACCTTTCATTTCTCTTTAATGGAAGATAAACAAGTGAGGTGCTGAAACTACAGAGCACTGACAGAAGAGAGCAGTGTAGTACTTCAAAATGGGTGGGATTAGGTCAGCTGCCTCAAAACTGACCTTTTGGACAAGGTTTTCATTTGGGATCCAAGTAAAAGGTATAAATAAAATTCTGCTGTTTTATGGAAATGTGGTCACTGGGAACACCAAAGGGAACAAAATATATTTCTACTCAAATCTTTTTGAATAACCTAAATATTTTTTTGAATAAGCCTAAACATTTTGTGCCCTTTTTAAATCTTTTGCAATGTAATGCAGTCCAAAGGAAAACCACTTCTGAAAGTTATTTCAGCAATTTACATGCAGGTGTATTTTTCAAGCCCCAGATTCTTTCAGGCTATAGTTCTGGCTCTTTGAGAGCAGTTACTGTATTTTGTTCCCGTTTTTCATGTTCACATAGCAGAATTGGGAAATAAAAACTTCCCTTCCTTAGCACACATGTGGTTTCCCTTCTAGAGGGTGGCAGTGATTGCAGTCTTGTCTTTGATGATGTGTATCATTCCAGGCACAGCATGGAATCACTCATAGAATGGCTTAGGGTGGAAAGGACCTTCAAGTCCATCTGCTTCCAACCCCAGGTTAATAGAGCTGAGACCTGGAAAATTCATTGGGTGGAGAGGGTATTGGCACCATAGCAGTCCTTTGGCAATATGTGGGTTTTGACTAGAAGTTACTAGGTGAGCAAATTAGAGGAAGGCACAGAACAATATATTCCACCTTTAAATACAGCCACAACAGCCAAAAACTATTTTACAATGTAGGGAAACATCAACATTTAATATAAGTGCTTGAGGCATAAGCCTTTTAAATAAAAAGAATTAAGAGACTGGAAGGGAAGACAAGCAGTGAAACATCCCTGATTGTTGATAGTCATCATGGAGGTTTGATCATGTCTGCCTGACATTCTGGAACGTGAGTACAGTAATGTCTTTTTACACATTACAGTTAGGTCTTTGGTTCATGCATTGCTGTGCAGACTGTGTGATCACTTGCTTCTGAAAATTATGATATTCCAAATACAATACAGGCTAAAAGAACAGACGCTAAATGCAGTGTTTTCTAAATATAACTGTAAATGAGTGTTATGCTAAAATTTGCCCAAGACTCCTTCTAAGGAATGCCTTTGAAAATGCAATGCATCTGGTTTCTAAATATCTGCCTATAAACAGTTCCTGAGGTTCTAAACATTAGCCTGGCACATAGTCAGTTTAAAGACTGAGGTTTTGTATTTGTGGGGTTTAGGTTTTGCGTGTATTTATGTCATAGTTTGCAAGTCAAAGTTGGGCAAAAATTTAGGCATTAAAATGAAGACTAAGTAGCTTTAGGAGTGTAATTATGGAGCAGCATTTTGGATTTCATAAGCTTTCTTGTGTTTTCATTAAAATTGCTGGGATTTCTTTATGTGAAACACACAGCTGTTGAGAAGATGCAAAAATTCCATTATGAGGCATTTTCAAAATGTTATTTTTCACTGGTACAAAACTAAGAACAGAAAACACCACCCATGAATCATTACAATGTCAGCTAAACAATGTTCTCAGCAATGAGTACATAAATAGTTAGTTTCCAAACCTGGGAAATGTGAGTGTGGATTAAATGTTAATCTTACCAAATTTCTTCATTATATCTAATTTGGAAGTGAATATAATTTTTGAAGTGTAAGTTACCAGGCTGAGATTTCAGGAACTGAGTACCCTACTCTGAAATAAGTGCCCGTAAGAATGAAGCCCAGAATTTCTCAGTGCTTTGGCTGTGCAGTGGTGTAAGAGAGTCTCTTCCTCCTTACGGTGTGCTCAATCAACCACCGTGGAGGATAAGCCACAAGAAAGCACAGGACCATGTGTGCAGCTGTGAGTTTTTGCCATGAGAACCAGTGGGATGGCCCTGTTCCCAGAGCATTGTACGTTCTGCAGGTATGGAAGGCCTCAGGAAATCCTGTTCTGCAGATGCTGTTTGTGGAACTGGGAACCAGCAGTTGGCTTGGTGGAGCAGCAAATCTCACGGCTGGCAGGGTGTGCTCCTGTGGTTTGCATTGGTACCCCTGTACTGGTGGCTGGGACCTGATCCTGACCATTGTTCCTGTAAGCCATCCCAAAGTCTGAAGTGCCACCAAGCTGAAAAAGAGCCCAAGCACTAAGAGAACACTGTTACCCACTCTTGAAGTACTATTTTGTGTGTCTGTCTCCTGTTCAAGATCTTGCTGGCTGCAGCGGCCCTTGGGCGAGATCGTGCTATATCAGAATCTTGCACAAAATGTTTCACAGGAAAAGAAAAAGCAAGCTTCAGCAGCCTGTATTATTGGTATAGTGGCATTATTTCTCCCACATTATCAGTGAATAATTGACTTACAGGGAGATTGAGGGACTTGTGCTGATTTAGCCAGAGATTTCTGGGGCAAAGCCACAAGGAAAACGTACATTGTAGAAATGTGTAGTGATGAGTATCTTATCCAGTCAGACACATCTGTGGTTTATTGTCTCACATTGTTACTGGTTTTCATACCACTGCACTGTCCTTAAAACATGTTAGCAAGTATTTTTCCTGATAAACTGGTTAGAATGTTCAGTGATTTCAGATTCATCTCTCTCTGCAATATGTGGCTACGTTCTTGGATTAGTAAAACAAATTTCTGCTCAGTGTTTCTTAGAATGAAATTGTACCAGTTTCCTAAATCTGTCCCTTGTAGGAAGTGAGCCATTAGGTGTTGAGCTATGTATAATGAAGGGGTTGGTGTAGACACTGCTGTCAACTGTACCATTGCTTCTCAGATCCTTTGAACTGCAGAAGATACAGATCTGGAGCTTTTCTATCCTATGAGATGAATGTTGAAGGGTAACCAACAGTTCATGAAATTTTTCTATACCTTTTCTACCCCTAAAAAGAACAAATAGAATGCAGTAATTGCATTACGTGCACTTACATGCACTTCCTTGCAAAGTACTGTGTGTCTGCAGATGGAAAGAAAAGGGAAAATGCCCTGTGGAGAGGAATTTGGTGAAAGCCTTCAAATGGTTGACAGTCCAACAATGAAACTAATGTGTAGCCAGCTGTGTGCTCTTGACATGGTTACAGCAGTGCTGATGAAGAGGAAAGGCTGTTAATGCTTCAGGCACTTCGACTGATCTTAAAATAATGGTAATCTTTGTGTGCATTCGGTTCTAAGTATTATTTTCTTCTAATTTTTACCTCTCCCCAGTTGCAGTGAGTAGAGCTGTTATTAAGCTAATTGACTTGCAGCAAGGGAGAAATTATCTCCTTTAGCACTGAAAATGAGAGGATTTGTATGAGCATCAGCAGAACTTGCTGTATCTTAATGTGACCCTGAATTGGCACTACAGAAGAAAATCCAAATCAAAGATATTCAGACTCAGGTCTTCCCTTTCTGTCCATCTTGCTTGGCACAGCCTCGTATTTAACTGTACTGAGTGTGAGAAGCAGGAAAGATGGTTCAGTTTGACAGGCTTGCTCCATTTCATAGGTGAGAAAGGCATCGATTTAATTTCTTCCCTGTCCTCTCATGCCTGTAACTCAAGCAATAGTTGCCATCAGGCAGGGCAGGAGGAGAAATCAGTTTGGCCAAGCATTTTGGCTGACTGCAGAGCACAAGTATTCTTTGCCTTCCTATCTATTCTTTAAAACCCACTCCTAAAAGCCAGACACTGTCTGATATTTTGTGGCTGAAATAAGAAAAGTGAATAAGGCACTGTGGAGAGGCTGTAGAACAGACCGGAATATCTGTCTCTTTACAGTTGATTCCTTGTAACAGTGGGCAGGAAATGCATTGAAACTGTGGCAATCAGAAATCTTTACGTTTCTGTGATCGTTAAAATTCTTGAATGGAAAGCTTTGTGCCAGTGGTTTCGAGTGAAGCAAGTCTTTTGAACAGTACTACCATCACTGAGTCAGAAGGGAAATGAGCAGAAGCAGAAAATAAACTTGAGGTTCCTGACTGTCAGATCAACAATTCAGAACTACATCAAATACATTATTTTGTTTAAACTCGTAACCCTTCCCTGGCTCCATCATATTTATGGTGGAGAGACCACTATGTAAATGGTATTCCACTCGTTGGCAGTCTGTGAGTGGACAGGTCCATGGCAGCTGTGAAAGCAGCAGGATAACCTCAGGGCTAAAAAAGGAAGTTGTAAGCTGGAATCTCTGTGGTGGAATTGAACACAGCTTTTCTGTAAGCATCCAGGTCAGAAAGAACTGTCTTTCAGCTCTTAAAAATACTTATTCAGTGTAGGTCCTGCTCTGATTTGTTATTCCATCCCTTTGGCAGTCTAATGGAGCAAAACCTGCTGTTACTGAGTCTCTGAATACCTGAAACAAAACTGTTCAGAATAACTTGGAAACAATAGCAGAACTGCAAACAGTGTGTACAATGCCAAATTAATTGGAATATAGGTGTTCTGAGAGTTGGATGTACTCTCATGGCCTGTAAACATGTGCTCAGTAACTAAAATACCAGCAATATTCCAAAGTGGTAATGCGTCTGCTGCGAGTGCCTAGCTGAGACCGCAGAATTAATTGTCAATCATAATTTAACTTCAATTTGAAGGGTTGTGCATAACTACATTGAGTTGGGAGGCTTCAATGCTACCTTGTAATGTTGTTGCACAGATGGGAGGGTGACATAGTGCCTGTGACTAAAGTACCTTGATGACTGGTTTATTAGTAGGAATTTATTCAAGCTGGAATTGCCTGCAACAGATCTGTATATGGTAAATAAAATAAGTTCCCAGTATGTAATAAGTGTTCATTATCTGTTTTTTTCTTATAGCAGCTCTTCTAGTTCTAGATTCGAAATGCCAAAATAATTAAACTCTTAAAGATCATCAGTGTCCTGCAAGTCTCAGGCTTCCCTCCACTTCCCTTGCTGCTGCAGTTGATGTGTGAAAAAAGAGTCTTCTCTCTGCGCTGGGGTCTGATCCTGGCAGCTTAAGAGAGACCCCTTGACTCAGGGGAAGAAGCCAGGAGTCCTAGGAAGGGCTAGTCACTCTTGGGAGTGGTAATATCATTCCTTGGGGAGGCAGGCACCTCTGTTGTGTCAGGAAACAGCAGCTGTTACCAGGACTCCAGAAGCTTGGTTTGAGTAGTGTCCTTGTGTAATTTCAATAGGTGTAGCATCCTAACAATCATGACTTTGTTGTGATCAGTATTTTCTAAAATACCCAGCCAGTTAACATCCAGTACTAGAAGCTGGGTAAGTTGCTGCATTGTTTCTTTCTGTGTAAGTTGTTTGTCAGACATCTCTCTGCTCTTGATACATAAATTAGATAATGCTGGTTCATCTTTTCCTGAGACATGATTTAATAGCAGCAGCTCCTTCTTGGTCTCAGCTCTGGTGTGTTGACCTAAAAGCTATTGCCTCTAACTGGGAAATGTTGTAGTAAGGAAATACACTGTATAGAATGAGCAGTCCAAAAGTTAAAAGCTCTTTCTCCTGACTGCTTGCTCTTATTTCCCTACATTTCTGCAGTACCAGTCAGGATCCCAAATAAAATCAGGACTGGGGAAGGAGAGCAAATGGAACTTAGACCCTTTCACTCTGGGGAACAGGAAAATGCTGAGGAGAAGCTGGAAGGAGAAGGCAGAGCACAGGAGAGCACCTTTGCAGCTCTGATGTGAAAATGTGTGTGAGTAGGAAAGGAGCTGCTGCCCAGAGGCCAGATTTAGTCCCAAACCATCATTTTAAAAACTGTCTGCATTCCATTTCAGTTCCCTTGTGAAGGATATTAAATCCCGTGGAGAGTGTGCATTGAAGTGCAACCAAAATGATGGTTTGTTTATGAGGAACAGCTGAAAAAGGGTGATCCTTCTGCACTGAAATAAAGAAAATGCTGAGATGCCTGAAAGAAATTATTTGAGAAGAGCGCTAGAAATAATAAAATCAAATAGCTTTTTTTATCTGAAAGGGAGGTTAAAATGCTTGTTAGAGTAAATATAAATCTATTCACAGCTGCTTCCCTATTGAAGGAGGAATAAAGAAATATATGAAGTTCTGTTTGTATTTTACAGCATTTTCCAGAGGTGGAAGATTATTAAACAAATAGTGTTGTTTACTAGGTGTAGCCTTGGGACATGGCCACAAAGGATTCTTTTTAGAGCTCCTAAAGGAATCCTAAAAGGATGGTGGTTCCAAGAGAGTAAATCTTTAGAAGCATAGCATGCTATTAGTTGCAGAAAAAGAATAATGATTCTTGTTAATTAGAACTGGTTTGAATGACTCAGGACGTGGTATGATAGAGCAAATTATAGCATCATAAACCCAGTGTGGAAGGGAAAAAATAATCATGGTGTTTTGTCCTGGTGTGAAATGGCAGGTGGAAGGGCATTGCTGTGTGTTCTCATCCTTCTGCACAGGGAAGTGGGGAGTGATCCACCATCCCTCTCAGCTGATCTGTGATATTTATGATGCCATCTAGAAGAGTCTTTTTCTAAAATGCAAAAGCATGTATTAGATCATGTATCAGCTTGGCTAAGTATGGATTTCTTCACAAGATTTGGCCATTTAAGTTTTCAACCAGCATTTGATCATCTTTGTGCTGTAAATAATTAACCATGAAGTATTTGACTTAAAAAATATAACTAAAATGGGAGCTTAGGTCTCTGGTAATTTTCCCCCTTCACTGACACAGTTTTATATGCTGGAAATTATTTATGATGATATGTCCAGTCAATTTCTCAGCCTGTACTGACATTCTTGAAATTACAGTGATATTCTCTTCAGGGAAAGAATAATTATATTTTCCCTGAACTAGCAATCTTTTCAACTTCCCTTACTTTTTCTTTCAAGGAAGTGCAGTAGCTGTTGGCAGGTAAGGAGTTGCCAGGAGGTGAATTGACATTAAAATGTCAGAGGTCAGCCCACGTGGAGGAAAGAAAGGGGCTGTCAGGAAAGCAGGTTAACCTTTTTTTTATGGAAACCTGCTGATTGTGACTTTACTGAGAACAACGTAGTCCTGTGGCTGCTCTCTTCCTGCTTTGAGAGCTGAAATGAAAAAGGAATCATGAAAAGGTTACACATCTGGTGCCTAAAGGGAAGGGGGTTTCAATCTCAGTCCTACCCACAAAGAAAGATCATCTCCTAGTGATTTGGCAGAGTGTATCTTCTGATTTTACTGTAAATACCAGCTTTTCATTATTTTCTTTTTAAGCTGAGGACTGGAATTCCTTTGCCAAAGATTAACTTCAGTTCCTGAACTAATTTCAGCATTGTGACCATGATAAGCTTTTCTTTTTTTGAAGTGGCTTACTTCCAGTTTTACTTTAAATAGAAATTGCTCATTCATGGCATTAGCAGATTTATTTATAAAAAGAGTCATGTTTCTAATTTTTTAATGGAAATTTGTCTGGAGAGTTTATCTTGGGTGAGTTCTACTTTAAAAAGAACTTGAAGAAAGAAATCACCAGTGGAGAGGTGAGGGTTTGCAGATTTCAGTGTAAGAGCAGACTGTTGCATCAGGAAAAAATTTCCTCGGAACGGGAGCCCTGTAGAAAACGGGGGGTTCTGTCTGCAGCCCTTCCTCAGTCCCTGAGAGCCCATCCTTGCAGTCTGTGCATTCCTACTCTGTTCACAGCTCGATTTAGGTGTATCCAAAAATGCCCCTCCTTTGAGAAACCTTCATGGAAGCATTGCTTCCATTGGGAGTGCAGTTGGAGCAAGGGCTGGAATGGGAGGGCATATCTGGGTGTCACCTTCATAGTAAGGTACTGGGAGAGTAACACACCAACAGTCTTAAAACTTTTGGTGTTTTTTGTTTGGGAATATTCCATGCTGTTATTTGAAAGTACTCAGATTTCAGATTTTTTTGGTCTGTTTTGCATATCAAAGCAATAGTGCTCATCTGCTTCCCTGGTCTGTGGCTTCTTTACTCTTCCATGAAAACAGAAATTATATTTTTAACATGGCATTTGTATTCCTCTTTAAGAAAAGCAGTGGGCACCGTTTTTGCTGTATCCTATGAACTAAGTGCACATAAAGGTGCTGTCAGTGTTGCCCAGCCCCATGGTAGCATTGCACATCCTGCAGCTCACAGAGCTCGTGGGACCTGTTCCAGCGTTTTCCTCTTTGCTTGCATTGGGTTGACTCGAGCAGAACTGCAGTTCAGTGAGGGGCCAGGGTAGTAAGGGCTGTATGAATGTGATCCAAGGCTTGCTGCTCAAAGAGCAAAATGCAAATGAGATTTACATTACCTGGGGCTGCACTGCCATCTAGTGATGAAGGACTCGAGGCGTGCTCTTCATTTTGTCTCCCACAGATCAGCATCTTCATGACACACTTGTCCAATTACGGGAACGACCGCCTGGGCTTGTACACCTTTGTGAATCTGGCCAACTTCGTGCACACCTGGACAAACCTGAAACTGCAAACCCTTCCCCCCATCCAGCTGGCTCACAAGTATTTTGAGCTATTCCCTGAGCAGAAGGACCCTCTCTGGCAGGTGAAGGCTGAGAAAGGGATCAGAGAAAAATTGTCTTGGTGTTCGTTTTGGTTTTTTTTTTTTTTTTAATCCATTGTTTCAGTTTCTTGTAGAGAAAAGCAGTATATTTTTAAGTTGGTTCCCCTGAAGCTTCAGGATGTGACTGTGGTCCCTGTCACTTGTAAAAGGCCATGAAATTAAAATGCATTAGGATGTGTAATTAAAATTATCTTTGTTTTATTTGTGACACTACTTGCCTTTAAAAATGTGGGGAAGGGCAGGCAAGTGTATGTTGTTTTACTTCTCTTCTCTTTTTGAAACTAACAGGAGTAAAGCATTTGACAGGCAGATTTATGTGCATCTTCTAGCAGTTAAAGAAATTTTTCTCCAAGTCTGTAAAGAGAAGAGGGCATCCAAAAAGAGAAAAGTGCATCAAGACTATGGATACCCTAATTAGGGAAGTGGAAGTAGATGAGATACATCAGAAGTTATTCACAATAGGCTGGGAGCTGCCCAAGGAAGAAGTTTGGCAAGAAGCTGTAGATACCTGCATCCTGACAGTGATAATATTAACCCAAATAAAATCTTATTAAGGTAGCTTGGTGGAAATACTCTAAGGAACAAACTTCACTAAATCAAACATAAAAATGTATTTAAGCTTGCTTACTAAAATGTTTTCCTGCGTTGAATATTGAATTGCCAACTTAGGGTCTGAGATTGCAAATTTGTACTTAAATATGCATCTTGAAATTCATTCTGGTTTTGAATAAAACATTGAACTAGAGGGGGAAATGTCAAGAATTTTGCATAATGCTAGGACAGAATCATTTTAAAAAGGGAAATTAGCCTGTAGCCAAATTACTTGAAAAATTATAATTACTTAGAGAAGACATTTTTAAGTTACAGCAACTAAGACATACTGTATGTGGTGTATTTAGTCCATAAGTGATGTGACTTTGAATACAGGTATATGTTCTTAAACCTCAGAGGGGTATGTGAAGATAATTCTCTTCATCTCAGTGCAGTATTGCCAAACAACAGCGTCAAAAATGATTTGTGAGTAGCATTTCCAGAACAAATTTAAACCAATTCAATTGTGAAGCAGCAAAGATTGAAGATTAATATTAGGTAATGATTTGAATTGGAAGATCAGAATATGTATTTGTGAATAGAAAGCCTTAATCATAATCAACTTACTCTTTTAGTTTTAAAATGCAGCATATATAGAGTGGTAGCTGTTACAGGAATGGAGAAACTATATATATGTGTAGGATATATTTCTTCAACATGTTTCTCCTTAAAAAAATTTCCAGACTCTTAAGCAAATCAGGTTCTGACCTGGTGACATTAGAAATACCATTGTAAATCACTGGAATAGTTCTGGAATGCCTTGGTTTTCAGTCGTAAGGCAAAATAATAATTTCTGGTAAGAATATTTGTACATGGGCAAAAAAATATAAAAAAATTATATATGAACTTTTTCAAATGTGATTACCAATGAAATTCTGAGTTTTCTTCTCTGTTTTAGAACCCCTGTGATGACAAACGGCACAAAGACATCTGGTCTAAGGAAAAAACCTGTGACCGGTTACCAAAATTCTTGGTTGTAGGACCCCAGAAAACTGGTGAGATTTTCTTTTATTCCAACAAGATAGGCTGTGTGTAAGTAAAACAGTTAATCACTGCTGACTCAGGCTGGTGTGTAGAGATATTGATCATCCAACAGCATTATTTTACTTTTGGATACCATGCAAATATAGCTTAATCATGTAAGTTACAACAGCAGTCAGTACACATTGAAAATGCAGGGTTCAGGTGTGTGTCAGGTTTTTGGGCTTTGTCAAAATGAGTAAACTTTGATGAAGAGGTGAACAAGACAGATTAGCTCTTGTCAAAGTGGAAGAAGGAAAAGGACAGGACAGAGACATCTTTCAAATGGGTTGGATTCTGAATTGCAAATTCTTGCATGTGTTTTGTTTATAGAATATTGTTATTTCTTGGCATTTTTTTAAAAGTCAAGAAGTTTCTAATGGGCAGTTTTATTACAAGATTGCACTAGCTTATAAATTTACTCAATGGTTATTGTTCTTCTCTGTAATCAGAAAATTGCAAAATTTCTTTCATCATCACCAATCCCCAAAAGCTACTGAATGCAACATTTTAAAATCGTTTTTGTGACAGTCTCATATACATAAATCATTATTTTTTAAAACACAACTATTTTAAGTTGGAAAAACAGATTTTAGCACTGGTACTCCAGTTGTCTGTATTAACAGTTTTTAAATGTCCTAATTCTAAAAGTTCAGAAAGTGCAGGATCTTAGGTTACATAAATCAACACCCCCTCAGTGAACTGAAATGGAATAAAGCTGATTTAGTCCCATCTGAAGCTATGATCCCCCCTAAAATGTATGTGTGTGTGTGTATTTTTATTTTAAATCTTGGACTTTTATCCTATTTGCAGGTACTACAGCCTTGTATTTGTTCCTGATCATGCATCCTTCCATCATTAGTAACTCCCCCAGCCCAAAAACCTTTGAGGAGGTACAGTTCTTTAATAGAAATAACTACCACAGGGGGATTGATTGGTAAGATGGGTTATTAGTATAAATATAAAAGTTTATATATTGTGAACAATAGAAAAATTACATTACTGTTGGTAATGGTAATTGTGCATATATAAAGTGAAATAAGAAATAGCCTTTAGTGTCTTTCTGAAATGAGAAATAAATGCAAGTCAATAATGATCTTACTACAGAATATCTTAAATGGACAAACTTTTGTGAGGCTTTCTTATAAATATCCAGATATGAACATGTGCAGAGCAGTAACAAAATAATGTATTTCTGTTACATATGCCTTTAAAAGTGGGACAGTAACAGTTGGTAGTTGGATGTATGGACACAAAAGTTATGTTCCTGCTGGAAATCTTATTTATTAAGAGGAAAAGAAAGATACTATCAGGAAGAGGCATTTCTTCCTTTAAATAGGATATAGCAGTAGCAATAATGTAAATAATAAAAAATGGGGGCAGGGAAAGCCTCTCAAAATGTTCTTTAAAGATCAGGTAATTAGGAGAATGTGTCTGTGTGGCTCAGTGAGTGGTGCTGAGACAGCCTGTATCCCTGCTGCCCCGCTCACTGTGGCTCCCTGGGAGTCACCAGGCACAGCTGCCCCACAAGGTCACTGCTGATTCCTCTGTTTTCCCAAAGTGTCCACTGCAAAGCACTGCAGCATGACAGCTGGTGACATGCTGCAGCAGCTGGGGAGAGCACTGAAGGATTATTGATTTCTTGTCTTGTTTCTTTATTTTGCCCCCAGTTTAAGGGAGAATACTTTTATTGCCTTAGACTTCGTACTCATCCATGAAATGAACAGAGTGAACGCTGCTCTGTGGTCTCAGTGCAGCCACATCAGATCCAATTTGTTTGCACGCCACTCGTTTTCCCAGAGTTGTAATTGCTGTGGCACATCCTCACGGGGAAGCTGCTGAGTCAGCTGCTTGTGCCAGTGGAGAGGTGCTGAGGAATGGCTGGCACTGGGAAATTGCTGCTGAGGAGGACATGCAGGCGAGGCAGAGCAGCTCCATGCTCATGGAGCAGTCGAAGTACAGCGAGCCCATTCTTCCACAAAATCAATCTTTTCATGTTGCTACTGTGCTGCTTCTCTCTTTCCTCCTGCCTTATCTGCTTCCTTAAGGTGCAGGTACAATTTGGCTGCCACACACACGTTAGATTACCTTCATCTTAACATGGCACTGGTGTGTAAAGCTCACAGTGGTCAGCCTGTCTAAACCAGGCACATCCCTTTGTCAGGTTCTCACCACAGCACCCACTCTGTGCCCCACTGTGGTCTTTGTGAGGGTCTCCAGAGAAGAGATGGATCTGACTCCATGTTCTCAGAAGGCTGATTTATTATATTATGATATTATATTAAAAGAATGCTATACTAAACTATGGAGAAAGGATATGAAGAATGAATAATAAAAACTCGTGACTGACTCAGAGAGTCTGACACACTGGCTTTGATTGGTCCTTAAGTAAAAACAATTCACATGGAACCAATCAAACATGCACCTGTTGGTAGATGATCTCTAGACCACATTCCAAAGCAATCAGATAATGATTGTTTTCATTCTTTTCTGACGTTTCTCAGCTTCCCAGGAGAAGAAATCCTGGCGAAGAGATTTTACAGAAAATATGACAGTGACACCTTACCACCCCTGCCAGGTTCCCTCAGTTAAGTCTCAGATCCTCAGAACTACCTGTTGGTGTAGTTGCCTAATTCTTAGATGTGCATTCTGTCTGCCAGGCAGATCTCTCAGACCACCTAGTCTGATAGGGTGTTTTAATGCTGGCTTGTAATGAGCTTGCCACTTTGTAATTAGATACAAGGGCTCTCCTCATTAGTCCATTAATTGGCTAGGATTCCTGCAAGAATCACAAATAGCAATCAGTTCAATTTTGTTTACAGTTGTGGAGATAGGGCTTTATCCCTGAGCTGACTCTTAGTCTTTGTCCAAGGTTGGATTTAGAGCAGGGCCAACTACAGAAGCAGAAGAGGGTTCTTACAGCCCTCAGAACCTCAGTATTGCTGTTTTTATTTGAAAGCAGGGTAAGTGTAAATTGTAGGCTTCCAACAGACATGGCAGAAGAGTAAGATAAGAACTGATCTTGCTGTTGTTGAAATGCAGAAGTCTAAACAGACCAGTCCTGCATTTCTTTATGTAAGCTTTGTTACAGATTTCTTGGACAAGTTTCTCTAAAGCCTGCTCAGCTTCTGGAAAATAAAAGTCCATTGACTTCAGTGGTTACAATTTCAGAGCCAATAAGAGCACATCATTTGTATTGGAAGTAGCTCATTTGTATGAACAGAGCAAAGTCTAAGCACTGGCAGAAATCTCGGTCATTAAGCATGGTCTTCAGAAGAGGCTGTTTAAATAACATTTATTTTCTCCATACAAGTTAACTGAAAAGTCAAGAGGGACAAAATCTCCTATTTATTGTTTTCCCCAGCAATAACAAGAAGTGTTCTGAGGGCCAGGGATAGAGAAGTCCTTAGATGACAAAACAATTGCAGGAACTTACCTACAGCTTCATAATGGATGAGGAAAGCTCACAAAAAACCTTAAAACAACTACAACACAATTTTCCCCTAAAATGTGACTCACAGAAAAAAAGTGAATTCTGTCACTGCTCAGGAGCCTTTTACCTGATGAAGCTGTGGGGAATTGTTTCAGTGCATCTTCCCATATCAACAGCCTCTTCTCAGTGAAAGCAATCCTGATTGATACTAAGTAGCTTTTTCTTACAGTATTGCACTTCAGTTGGTGTCAGCAGAAGGCCAAATTTGGAAAACTAAATTTCTACTTTAGACTTCAGCAGTTTGTTCTGACTGAAAAGTGAGAACTCACAAATTTTAAAATACATAAATACTGTAACATTTTATCCAGTTTAAAAAAATTAGCTGCAATGTCTAGTTACATATAGTGAGAAGCAAGCTAGTACCAAGTAAAATATTATCAAAGATACAATGTAAGCTTTGGTTTGCTTTCTTTTTTTGCACTTAGATTTTTATTTTAATTGAGTGCTCTAGAATAAAATATGCTTAACAGATGTATCAACCTTTGTGTGATTTTTAAGTAGTTCTGAGGATGATGTTGCTTTCCCAGGTACATGGATTTCTTTCCAACTCCTTCTAATGTCACCACTGACTTCCTCTTTGAGAAAAGTGCCAACTATTTTCATTCTGAGGAAGCTCCCAAGAGAGCTGCTTCCCTTATCCCCAAGGCCAAAATCATCACCATCCTCATCGACCCGTCCGACCGTGCGTACTCCTGGTACCAGGTATGCACTTGGGGGAGCATGGGCAGGCACCAGGCCAGGCTTCCACCCTGAATCCTCTCTGTATGTCCTCTCAGGATATATCCCTGTAGTCAGTGACCATCTCTGATCATCCATGGGCTGAGATATCTGTCATATTTTAAGGGTTAAAATACCAGTAACCACTTTTTCAAGTTATCTATGATGCAAGCATGTAAAAATGATTACTTAATTAATTAATGTAATCAGCACCTACAGAAATTGGTATGCAGACACAGTTATGTAGTTAATGCTCAAAATACAGGCTAGGCTAAGAAATTTTTGTCAGTAAGAGCAGCCAGTTTTGCCTTGTGGTCTGTAAAGTTCCAGCAATGTCACTTCTTTTTCAGCATCAGCGATCCCACGAAGACCCCGCAGCTCTGAAATTCAGCTTCTATCAGGTGATCACAGCTGGCCCTCGAGCCCCCTCTGAGCTCAGAGCTCTCCAGAAGAGATGCTTGGCACCTGGATGGTATGCTACCCACATTGAAAGATGGCTCACTTACTTCCCACCTTACCAGGTGAACAAGGGACTTTTGACATCCTCATCCTATAGATATATATGTATATATATACTGTCCTTAAAGTTTACCTTTGTAAAAGTCTTGCCTACTGACTGCTGATCTTGGGGATAATCCTACAAATCATTACCCTCCTTCTGGTCCTGTGTAAGGTCAAGCTTCAAAAATGCACATCCTAAGCCTTGAATGTCATGTGGTAACAGCAGACCAGGCAGACACTATCACATGATTGGTATCTCCTTGGGAATTTATTTCTGGAATGGAATTTTGTGACATTGGCAGCATGTCTGGCACTGCTCCCCACCCAACAGTTAGAGGGAGATTGGCTGCAATCCCAACCTTCTGTTTATCCAGGGCTCTTGTAGCTGAGACAAGTTGGCTGGAGTCTGCACCTTCTGTTTCCCTGGAGTGTGCCAAGGAAGTTCCAATGCATCTAGCTCTGTTATTCCCCACATACTCTCCTTTCAGCCAGCCTTGTATATCTCTTCATGAGATGCACAACACTGTAATATCCTGACTCTTGAATGAAATTCTCCTCATTATGTTTTCATTAGCTTTTCTCCACAAGTAACCTGTGAATATTGAATAATATGCATTGTTATGCAGATTTTTGCCAGATTTTATGTCCCACAGTGATAGTGAAGAATCAGCCCTGATGGCCTTATGTTTTATCTGGAAAAGTAGTAGCCATTAATATAATTTTTTCTTGGCTTGGCCAGTCTCTCAATTTCCTGACAGTATTTCTTATCTTGCTAGATCCTTCACTGCTATTTCTCTGTTGCCATAACAGCTTCCAATGCAATATAATTTTAGATTTAATTAAAATGCTATTTACCCTGCTCCCAGGTCATTAATGATGATGACAATTAAGACTGGGCCCATAATTGTTTCCTGGGGCAGTACTCTCCATATGATGAAGGAGTTTTACAGAGGTGGAAGTTCCAGCTGCAAGCCTGAAATAATGAATTTCAAATTAAACCTCCATTTATTTTCTCTGTTGTAGTTGCTGATTATTGATGGACAGCAGCTGAGAACTGACCCATCTACTGTCATGGATGAAGTACAGAAGTTTCTGGGAGTCTCTCCTCATTATAATTACTCTGAAGCCCTAACGTGAGTTAATCAGTTCATCATTGTCACATGTTCCTGCATTCCTAAAATACCTGTAGCTAGCCTGTAAGTCAGCTCACTGCAGAATAAAGCCCTTCATAGTTTTTTGAGCTGTCGGTAGGGTGATTGTTCAGAACACAATTCAGGGTTAAATTTTCTGTGCATCATTCCCTGAGCCACTTGGCTGTTACAGGAGTAGAGCTCTGACAGGCACAGTGCTGCTTTGTGAGAATTGCATATGAATTTTAAATCTATCAAAATGAATTTTACTTCCATAAGTGGAACGTGGAATGCTGATATGCAGAAACAAAAAGCAAATAGAATAATTTCTCTTTATTTTTGGCATTAGCTGAAAAACAGATTCAGTTATATCAGTCAGGAATGTAACATCCACTCCTTTGGATTCTGACTCCTAGATTTGGTTACACACAAATTTTACACCGCACAATATTTGTTTCAGGTTTGATTCTCATAAAGGGTTCTGGTGTCAGCTCTTAGAAGAAGGCAAAACCAAGTGTCTTGGAAAGAGCAAAGGCAGGAAATACCCTCCAATGGATTCTGAGGTAAAGCATGCTGTTCATTGGCATTCAGTACAGGAATTCAGTTGACACATACAGGACATGACATAAGCAAAATGATGAGAAGGGAGAGAAGACAAAATTATGTAAGAGTTACTTATTTGGCTACCTTTCCCTACTAGGAAATGTTTAAGATGGCTGTAGGCTGCATGGAGGTTCAGTTCTTTATTTCAAATGTGAAGATTAAGTAATTCAAAAACAACAGCAATGAAAACCCCCACAAATTCTAAAACTTTAGGAAACTAAATGTGCTGCTCCTGAAGTCCTGTCCCTTTTACCTTATGGACTCAAGCAGCAGAAGTTCCACAGTGCAGGTTTCTTCTCAGTCATCATCAGATAGGTGTATTTGTGTGGTCCCTTGTCTTTGAGAGTAGTTAGACTGTGTTTGACAGGTAATGCAGGCACTCCTATAACCCAGTTTTAAGAGAGGTTAGGTTCTGTTTCTATGAATTTTAAAAACACCTTCCCCAGACAATGCTCAAATGGGGAAATTTCAGTCGGATCAAATGCTGCAGCCTGTACCCAAGGGCAGTTCAGTCTCCTGTTCTAGCTGCTACTTCCACGTTGATTCTGTCTTGCATTGCCATTTCATTTAGCCTGGCTAAAATGCAAATAAGAACTTAGAGTTTGAACAGCAGTAAGAATTAATGTACCAGGGATTTTCTCCTTACAGTACTTAAATTATAAATAACTTCACATCAGTAGAGTCATACCGATACCAAACCATTGGGTGAGAAGGATTTTGTTCAGAGATAAGACTGTATTTGTGCAAACTTTTGTCTTTTTCGTCTCTAAACTATTCTGAAAATTGAGGTGTCTACATACAAAGATATTTTAGGAGCTGTCATTTCAATCACACTGCAGTAAAAAGTATCTCCATACCTTCAGTACGATTCTGAATGTACAAGACTAAGAGTAGAATGAAATTCTGCTTTGACTTTGGTGTTCATTTTGGACAACCTCTGTTTCCCTTGAAATCAGCCTTTCAGATTACAGCTCCTTGCATGCAGTAGATAGCACAAAACAATATAATTGCTTAAAGGAAGTAAAGTTTTCAAACAGGTCAAACCAGCTTTGAAACCTCAAATTCACAGCATCTGCAGTACAGCATTTTATTAAATAAAAACTTCTCCTTTTGTATCCCTCAGTGCAGGGCCTTTCTGTCGAGCTACTACAGAGATCACAATGTGGAACTGTCAAAACTCCTCCACAAACTGGGACAACCCCTGCCATCGTGGCTGAGACAGGAGCTACAGAAAGTGAGATAGCATTGGAAAAGAGCTTTTTGAAATCTCCTTCCACACTTCAGTTTTCATACCTGAACTTTCCTGCAGCTACCAGAAGGTCTTGTAAAATATACCTCTTCAAAAAAGTGTAAAGGATAGAAATTATTTCCATGTGCTGGCATGTGGATTGTAAAAATACGTGTGTTCCTTAGAGCTCTGGTGGGCCAAATCTTCATCATGAACATTTCTGGGCCTGTGGACTTGTGGACTACTGTGCACATATGTGGAAGTTATTTACAACTGGTATAAGCGTCAGAGATACATGACCTGTCCAATTTCACGGTAAATATTGCCATTTTTATGTATCAGTTTTAAAGTATTGTGTCTCATGTAGGTTTTGTAGCCCTTTGTTGGACCACTGGCAGTTTTTCTTAGGATTCAATTATTGTGTTGCGTAGGATAAGATAATGAAATGTAGCATAAAATGCCCAGAGTACTTCTGCCTTTGGAATCAGCTTGCTAATGCCCAAAGTGTGTGCAAACACTGGGGAGCAGTACAGTTATCACGTATCATTTAGCTCTGTATGGCAACAAATGCACCCAGCAACATCTGCAATCCACAGGTGTAGAAAGAAAATCACAAACAAGCCAAAACAAAACCTGATTATATCTGGTAACAACAAATCCTCACAGTGCAGGAAGGGCCTTTGCCTGGAGTTAATGTGTCTGATTCTGTAGTGACTGAGATGTGTTATCTGAGCAGAAATTTGATTGGATATGTGAAACACACAAGTTGCAGTATTAGACTTAAGCAGTTGTGACCCAAACTGGAGCAGTGCAAGGAAGAGGCTTTCACCCCTGTTCTGTGAGCGGCCAGCTCCGAACACTGCACTCCAGGCTTACATTGCTCTGAGTCAGCAGTGACTCCACTGAAATGGACTAAAAACTCCTAAAAAGCAGCAACAGATCCTTACTTTTATTGCCTTAATTTGCACCACTATTTTTTCCTTAATTTATTTGTCTTTAACGTATGTTTTTTTCCTCCTCAACCTCATAAAAATTGTAGCAGCTTTCTGCAACCTTCAGATAACATCAGCTGCAAAAATTACCAGATTTCCAGATGAAAATACCAGTTCTGTTCCCAGACACATTAAACATGCTTGATATAACCTTAAGAGGTTGTATCTAATAGAGGGGACAAAAATAAAGACGGTGTGTAGTCATAGTAGAAAATTACACTCAAATCATGGGAAAACACAAACACTGCCCTTGCAGGCAGATATTTGTGATAGTTGTCATTAATGCATCTTTCAATGCATCAGTTTAGATGTGAGATAAAGTCTAATCAATAGAGCTTAGCAGTTGAGGAAGATCATTGGAAACTTCAGCTAAGTGTGGCCTTAATGCTCCTCACAGAACTTTGGCTCTGAGTGTTTCTAAAGGCATGAAGGGTTGGTGAAAATTAAAAAGAACCACAGTATTAAATGCAAGGCTTTATACAGGAGCTCTGTAATGTTTTCATCATTTGTTTCAGGGTGAATATTTAAAAACATGCATCAGATGGTGGAAAAACTTCCTGTGTCTCAGTGCTGTTTTACAACATTTATGTAATCATGCAATTTAACTTTGAAGGTAACGGCATGGAAACCAGTCTGATATTCCCTAAATAGAAAACAGATATTGAGATCCTTACTGTACCTCTAACTGGTAATCTTTATTATTTATTGATTTTGTCTATGTAATACGTGGTTTTGATAGGCCTGTAAAGAAAAAAATCTAGACAAATTTGCTGTATATAACAATATTCTTTACGCAGCACATTTTTGCTAAGGGAATATGCATGATTAAGGATGAGAACCTACTACAGTAGACATTTTTTCAAGATGAACATTTCTATTATTTATTAGAATGAGAATTTCATTTCACTTTAAATATTCAGTCATATGGATTTATCTCAAAAGCTGACTTGTCTTAAAGTACTTATTTGATAAAAGAAACACTCTGGATTCTGAACACCTGTAAAAGCAAATATTCTGCATGCTACAGACTGCTCATGCTTCCTGCAAGCATCCATATAGATTTGTTACAGTTAAATTGAATAACTGGAGAAAATATCTGGGGTTTTCATCCTGTCATGATTGATTTTACTCTTGATGCAACCTGGTGTAACATCATTCAAATGTTTTAAAAATGCAGGGATTGCACAAAGCCCCTGCTGTGCATTGCTGCCTCAGTTCTCCATGTTCTTCAGTGAAACAGTGTTATAAAATAGAGAAAAATAGGAAAAACCTTGGGCACTGTCAAGTGCCTGATGTTTTCAGTGTGAGAACACAGACTGAGTGCCTCCTACATGCAGGAGGAATGGCCTTTCAGCATCATTCCCAGTTCATTCTTTGTTTCAAAGAATTCCCTCTCTGTCTTCTTGCCCTGGGAAAGCAAGGCCCTGACAGATTGAGAATGAGTGGGCAGTCAAGGACAGAGTGGTGACATTGGTCACATTGTCCGCTGGGGAATTTTACAGCCCATCTGGGGTTACCATGAGGCACTGGGACAATAAATCCTCCACATGCACGGCCTCAGCTGGATCATTAGTTGTTTGTAAAAGGATGTATGAAGCCATGGGGGGTTTTATTCCAGAACTGTTCTATTGAAATGTGTTCTTACATTGAACAGGAGCCTTTAAAAAGCACTTTTAACATGCAGCCAGCTTGGTGAAGGAGGAGGAGGCTGAGCACAGCATGCAGACAGCAGCTGGGTGTGAGTACAGCTGAGTAACCAGGTCATAGCACACGAGTTACCTGACAAAGTGTGACCTCTTCTGTTCACAGCTCACCTGCAATCAGGGTTTGATTTCCAGAAGTACACTGTCAGTATTAATACTCTTAAAAAACCAGGTTTGTTACAACAAATCTGTTTGCTAGTCCAAGTCAGATGTTTTGTTGTGGCTGCTAACACAGCCGTGGTTCCTGTTCCCCTGGCAGGTGACTGCACAAGCGATTTCTCTAACAAGTGCTCGATTTTGTGAGTTTCATCTTCATTTTCATAAACATGATTCTGAAATTTGCTTTACGTGGACATCAGTGCCATTAAAAAACCACGTGTGGTTCTGAGCAGATAATGACCATTTGGGGGTGTAAACACGGAGACTGATCAGAAATCACCTAATTATTTGAGCTAACATTCCTGAGAAAGAATGAGTTTGGATGATTTGCAGACTATCTTGTACAGAATATCCTTTTTCATTGCTTAAAAATGTGAAACTTCCTCAGGAAGAAATTAAATAGATATTTCAATGTTTATAGATGTAATACTCTTGTCATTCACATTGAATGAAAATTGCTGGAAACATTTTTCTCAGAGTTTTTTTTTTAATAAAAAATAGATATTCTGATAGTGGCATGGTATTTGAAGTGCAACAATAAACTCTGATAAGAAAATGTAGTGCTGTGTGGAAGTGACTTTGATGTTCACAAAGTTGTCCTTTTCCAGTTTGGTTAGCAGCCATTGCAGCTTGATGCTGAGCTCTAACATAGTCCAGCAGCACAGGAGCAGCATGAAATGTTTTCAGAAATGAAAAATACTGCTTCCTCTTGCTGTGAGTGAATATTGCTGCTTTATGCATCTGCTTGTTTTACTGCTTTTGCTTCCTGCTTACTTTTATTTCTTGTGCCAGCACTTGCTAATGCGCTGGAGAAACATCTCCAGAGTTTGCTATTTTTCAGATAACAAGGAAAATGTATTCAAATCATTTGCCTTGGGGATTCAATAGTTGTGCCAATGCATCAGCCTACACAGACATGAGAAAAGCTTTCTTTGGAGAAACCTCTGAAGCTGATATGAATGTCCAAAGGAAAATTCACTGTTATCAACAAATTCAACAGAACAGAATACAAAATTGTACTTATCTAGCTGGGTAAAAGCTGCTTAGGAGTGTGAGAGATAGGAAACCTACATTAACAAAATATTGCATTCATTAAAGAGAAATGATGCAACTTAAAATTAAGAAATCTAAGCTTCCTGTATAATACCCATCTCTGTAAGCTCTTAAAAAACCAGTAAACTACTAACAGGTAATAAGAAAAGGGGAAAGATCCGCGCTATAAATAATAAGAGCTTTTTGGCCTCTGTCTTTGATGTATCTACTTTAATATAATGTTTCTTTTCAGTTCTTCCAGTCCCCCAATTCCTAGAGCTCAAAGGCAAAAGACACTTTTTTTTTTTTTTTGGTCTCTCCTGACGACATGGATGGAGAAAGCACAACAGTCAGCAGATCCCAGGAGCAGGAAAGTGATCAGCAGCTGAAAGAAAGGGCAAGGGAAACCTGAGTGGAGGAGGAACTCAGACCAAGTAAGGGTGATCATCTGACAAACATACACTGAGCTTGAGGCTTCCCTGGACTGAGGATGACTAATACTAGCTGAGTAAGCTGCTGTGGTGTGAAAGTTGCAGTAATTACGGGAGGTTTAGACTTGACATTAGCAAGCATTTCTTTATGAGAAAGTGTTCAGACACTGGAACAGACTCCCTGGAGAGGAAGTTGATGCTCCAGGCCTGTCGGTGTTTAAAAATCATTTGGAAAATGCCTTTACAACAGGCTTTAACTTCTGGTCGGCCCTGAGGCGGTTGGCATTTGGACTGATGATCCTTGTAGGTGCCTCCCAACTGGAATGTTCTGTTCTGTTCTAACTCCAAATTGAGGTGTGGACATTTGCCCAGTGTGCAGATGCTTACGTGGACTGGAAAAGGAAAATAATCTGTGTTCACCTAGACGGATGGCTTCATTTTTCTAGCACATCTTTCACGACCTCTGATTTTATTTTAGTCCATGGTTTTCAAGTAGCGAGCAGTGTCATTGTAGCATTTAAGGCCATCTTATGACTGGACCAAGCAGACACACACGTTTATCTCCACAGACAAAGCAGCATCGCTGCCTCAACCTGCTGCAGGCCTCTGCTTTGTTTTGGACAATGCCTTAGCCCGTTCACCCCCGGGGCTGCCGCTCGGTACCTTGGGGGAGGAGCGGGAATCAAAAGGCGGCAGGGACCGATCCCATTTCCCTCCGCGCCCTCCCCGGGTGCTCCAGCTCAGTGCGCGTGCGCTGCGTGCGGCGGAAGCCCCGCCACCAGCGCGGGGTGTCGGCGGCGCCCAGTTCCCGCCGGCGGCGCGTGAGGCTGGGGCGCGTGCTGCTGGGGCTCCGCGTGGGCGGGC